TGACCAGGAGCGGCCACTGCATTCCAGTCTGGGCGACAGAGTGAGACTCCAACTCAAAAAAAAAAAAAAAAAAAGAATATTAATGGGGACATAGCGGTTCAGACCTGTAATCCCAGCAGTTTGGTAGACTGAAGCAGGTGGATTGCTTCAGGCCAGAGATTGAGACCAGTCTGGTCAATGTAGTCAATTTATATATATATATATATATATATATATATATATATATACACACACATATACACACATATACACACATATATACATATATATGTGTATATATATATAAAACTCACATATATGTATATGTGAATTATATATGTAACTCACATTCACACACATATATATAAAGATTATCAATGTCTTTAATAAATACGCCTTCTGAATCAATGGAAATAATGTTAATTAAGAATCTATAATTAAGTTGTGTAAATTTTGATAGACAATTGAACCTCATTTCCAAGTCATTTGGTTTAACTATCAGTAAAACTTACTTAAAAGGGTCCCAGATTACTTGCTTAATTATGTCTTTATGTAATATCTTCTGAATCATTATATGTAATTTATATTTCTATCAATTTATTTAAAAAATGTTCAGCCGGGCTTGGTGGCTCAGCCTATAATCCCGCGCCTTTGGGAGGCTGAGGTGAGTGGATTGCCTGAGCCCACGGGTTCAAGACCCGCCTGGGCAGTGAGACCTCATCTCTACAATAAATCAAAAAATCAGTCGGGCGTGGTAGCTCATGCCTATAATTCCGGCTACTTGGAAGGCTGAGGCGGAAGGATCGCCGGAGCCCAGCAGGTCGAGGCTGCGGTGGCCCGGAGCGGCCACTGCACTCCAGTCTGGGCGACAGAGTGAGACTCCAACTCAAAAAATAAAAATATGTTTGCCTAGTTCAGAGATTTTTGACAACACACAAACTGTTTTTATGTCCTATTATTTAATTTACTAAATTATGTGATGTTATATTATAAATGGCATGTTGTATGTTAAATTCCAAATTAATTTCATATGTCCAAAGTCACTTAGGATAATCAGAGCAAGAATTATAGATAGCTTTTAAGATTTTTATTAAGAAAATGTATGTTTAAATGATATTGGATATTCTATGCAGAAATGTAGCTTGCCTATTTTTTCCTACATAATTTCTGTTACTTTATAAAAAATTAAATTGAAATACAACATTATCGAAAATAAAGAAAAACATTTTGCCTATTTAGAAAGTAAAATAATGTTTGTAACATTCCTAGATTGAATATTCATTGGTTCTATCAATGACAAAGAGTCATAATTTTTTACATTTTATAATTCAAAGGAGTCATTTGGTTGGGAATTTGTCCACTCTGTGTAATGCCATTTTTCTGACTTTGGGCTGTCCATGGGGTGTGAATAATAGGAATCTTTGCATTTATGCAGTTTGTGAAGGCATTAAACTTCCTCATATGCTTTTATTAGAAATATGATTTATAGTGCCATATTTTTCTGTATCTAATGGGTGTGAGGTGGCAGTGCAATTTGCTGAAGATTCAGCCCAGTGCCAAAGTTGTTCATTTTTAATTCATTTGTCTGCATTTTCCTTTCTAAAGGTCCAAAACAGACAGATATCTTCAAGCATGATGTTCTCGCAACCACCGGTTTGCAAGAATTAAGTATTATCATATCCTTTGAAAGCTACTTCCTCAAAGAACTGATTTCCACAAAAGAACTTTCTGCAAAACGCAGCCTTCTTTCTTCCACAGATGTTTTCTTTCCTCCATTTCTGAATTTTGGTGTTCACAATCCAACTCAAATCATCTGGGGCAAACCATCTGTATCACATATGCCCGTACAAACGTCAGCCACCTCGCAAGCATACTTTTCGCCTAATAGGGGAGCGAGGACTCCATTTCTTGTCTCTTCCTTAATGGCAGATTTTATTTTTCCTACACAATCTTTATTATTTGAGAACAGATCAGACTGTTGCCTTATCTTCTACCACAATGAGTTCAGTAATTAGTGGCATTCCAGGGGCTGATATTGAGTTGAACAGGCCCTCATTACTCTCCCGTGGATTCCCGCTTACAACTGCTTCCATAAGTGCACCTCCAATTGTCTCTGGAGGGGCTCAAGAGGATATTGAAGAATATTCAGCTGTTTCCTTAATTTCAAGAAGAGAGCGTGGGAGATTGCTGAGCTCTTCGATGTCTCCCATTTTTCCTGCCAAGATAATTATATCCAAACAGGTAGCCATCTTAAACTCATCAGCTCTGTACCAATTCACTACACAAGCCTCCCTTCCCAGTGAATATCAGGTTATTACTGAAGCATCTAGCAACTGGAGACTCACAAACATCAAATCACAGACTGCTGATTCTTTAAGAGAATTAAGCCAAACATGTGCAACATGTTCTATGACTGAAATAAAATCCTCTCATGAATTCTCAGATCAAGTTTTGCATAGCAAACAGTCCCACTTTTATGAGACATTCTGGATGAACTCAGCGATATTAGCCAGCTGGTATGCACTAATGAGAGCTCAAACTATCACTTCTGGGCATTCATTTTCTTCTGCTTCTGAAATAACACCATCAGTGGCATTCACAGAAGTGCCATCTTTATTTCCTTCTAAAAAGGGTGCAAAAGGAACAATTTTACCCTCATCCTTGGAAGAATCCATTACCCTATCAAGTAATTTGGATGTTAATTTATGTTTGGATAAGACATGTTTATCCATTGTTCCTTCACAAACTATCTCTTCAGACTTGATGAATTCTGATTTGATTTCAGAACTGACTACTGATGGTCTATCAGTATCTGAAAGCATTTTAAAACTATTGAAAATAGGACAATATGGCATAACTTTGGGCCCTACTGAGATACTAAATCAAGACAGTTTATTGGACATGGAAGAAAGCAAAGAATTTCATAGGCAGTTCAAACTTTACGCAAGTGATAGTTCTGTAGATTTTGAATGGAACTTGCAAAGTCATCCAGATGTTACTCTAAAAATGTATTCAGAATCCATACATTCAAATGGCCTCAAAAACAGTCTGCCTCTGTTTACAGACTTAGTGCCTGATTCTTCAGAAGTAACTTCCATGGTTGCATATTATACAGTTTCAACAACTCAGTTGCTTTCAATACAGACCTCTCTCCCCATGCCTGTAATTAGGTCAGATCAGCCACATTATAGAGATTATCTGGATTTAACCTCTGGTGGTAAAAATGATGTCAGGACTTCCTCAGAATGACCCACATGGGAACTTCAGCCTCCTGTGTGGGATCAGAATTCTCCTACTGCAAGCCAGAACATCGCCTTCACTCCATCTCTTCCTTTGTCTCACTGGAGTCCATTCCGGCACCTCAACTGTTGATGATTTCTGGTGAGTTTCTCAGTTTCTGTTCAGTAAACTTTTAGAAATAAGTGGGGTTTTTTTTCCTACAGAGAAGAAAGTACCTGTTGTGGTCACCAGGTGCTCTAAACAGCATCATTGTCATCAGGGCAGCAGCCAGTTCAATGGAGATGGCACCTGCTGTTGTACCTGACACAGATGGTTATTCTTTATGCACTGCCACAAAGGCTACCAGATCAATACAGGAGTAGGTTGGAGACGGCTATACTGCTGGCAAGCAATCAGAAACTGAACTAGTTCAATTCATTACAACAGATCTTTCAAAGTTTAGAAATAACTTTTATTATTCTCATTTCTTGAAATAGTTTCTTTGTCAGGTTGAACACAATATAACATACCCTTTCTAACGTTATCTTCAATGCTGGCATTTTTTTTTTTAATGGAAGAGATGAAGAAACTGGATTTTTCCTTCCTAAATGGTGTGGTATATCATTTTTTAGATTTAAAGTGCGATGCTTTCATTATATATAATTCAGAATATAAATTAAGTTTGTTGCTTTTCTTTAACAAAAGCATCATACAAAAATTTAAATAGATAATTGTGTGTGTGAATTTGAATTCAGAGTCTTGAAATAATTAATGAAAAGTCAGTTTTCTTAGGTAACAATATTTACTTTACAGCGCTCTTGAAATCTCCTCTCCCCTTAACCAAATTGGTAAGGATGAAAGAAAAGAAAAGGTTTAAAGAATTGCATGTATCAGAAACAGGAGAATTTTTCCATTACTCAAAAAGTTCTATCTTGTGGAATTTCAAGTGTTATTTTGTGGTAGTAAAGATAATTTTTCTTTAATGATAACTTTATAGTTTTTTATGTGTATGTGTACTTGTGTGTTTCTGCTTCAGAAGCGCATATGACCTTAACCTTTAAAAACCTATAATCCTAGCACTTTAGGAGGCTGAGATGAGAGGATTACCTGAGCCCAGGGGTTCGAGACCAGCCTGGTCAACTTAGTGAGACCTCATCTCTACAATAAATTAAAAAAATAGCCGGGCGTGGTAGCGCACACCTATAGTTCCGGCTACTTGAAAGACTGAGGATGGAAAGATAGCCTGAGCCCAGTAGATTGGGCTGGGGTAGCCGTGAGCATGCCACTGCGCTCCAGCCTGGGCAATGAAGTGAGACTCCAACTCGAAAACAAAAGTAGTGATACGTGTGCAACTTATGACTGACCATTCAGTAACATAAATGATCAAGTCATTATATTTTATATATTCAATAAAATATGATTCTCTATATAAAGTTTTTTAAATAGTACTATAAATTAGTTTACAAATGTAAATGCAGTATTCTCCTCATCTGTTTACAAAATGATAGTTTGCGGTTTAACTCTTATGACTCATTTACTGTGGCTTATATGTCATTTCTCATACACAAGGAATTTGGTAAGTGCAACTGAGTTAAAACTTCTCCTCTCAAATAATTCGCCCTATAGCCATCCCTTAGATATAATCATGACACAAATTCTTCACTACCAGAACATCAAACCCTAAATCTGCCCTTTGAACATAAGTCTGCTCCTTTCCATTTTTTGCTATCCCTCAATTTAACCACAAATATTCTTTGACGATTTTAACCTCACAAATGTTCTAGTCCTCTTCCAGTTTTGCTTGCTTGTTTGTTTTTTGTCACTCTGATTATGTTAGAAAAGGTAATCAATCATTTACAAGGTATTTGCTGGCTTTCTTCAATATGTGCAAACACTGTGCTGGACAGAGTCACCTCAGGGAGTAGGTAGCACACTCCAGTTAGATATTTGGGGATAGTTTAGTGGAGGGATTATTTACTAGCATACAAGTAGATTTTGAGAAAAAAATAGAACTGATAGTGTGGTTCTGAAGAGACTAGTAACAGCAGAATATCATTAACCACATTGGGCCTAAATGGACAGAGGAAAAAGCAGGTCTAGAACCTAAAATGGAAAACGTCTAGCTTACAAAAACTGTGGCCTTTGGGAGTAGGACACAGGCAATCCAGGTCAAGTCAACAGGAAGGAGACTAGAGAGAAATACTCAGCCTCACTCTCCTCTTGGCTTCTAGTTTCTTGCAGATGTTTCTTATTGACCAAAGGCAATAACTAAAAGGTAACATTAGTCTTTTGAGTTGACCTCCAGTGTTCAGAGGGTAGAATGAATGAGGGCAGAAAGATGATATGGAGGAGCAAATATTGATATATAAGAGTCCTCCATTTGTCAGTTCTCAGCCTGTATTTTCTCAGCAATCATAATAATGGTTTGTTCCACTAAAATTCTTATGGCTTTCCTCAACTTGACTTGCACTTCTTCTAGGCAATCCTTAGTTGATCTTGCGTTGGCTTCCTACAATGTTCCTCATGCTGATTATTTCAATTTTGTTCTATCTCTTCTAGCATGAAACCATAACCATCTTCTTTGCTTAGCAAATAAATTTACTTCTAACATCTAAATCGAGAAATACCATGCAATTGAATTAGTCTTATTTCCAGATTCTATCTTAAAATTATCTGGCAATGAAGGAAAGAAAATAGAAATGCTTGGTTATATAAATATACCAGAGCCCTATGCTTAAAAAGCTTTCCTTCATCTAGAGAACTATCGTCACACCTTGTCAATAATCAATTGATGGTAAACATGTAGCAAGTTTCTAAAGTCTTTGTTACTTTCCATGAATTATGTCTTTCTTTTATCCAATCCCATCCATGAGGTATTTCTAACCTCATAAATAATAACCTGCTAATAACCTTCTAAAAATCGCACCTCATAATACTGAGAATTAAGTTTTTGTCATGAATTTTGATGGGACAAAATTATCCAAACCATAGCATTAAGTAACCCAAATTTCAAACTATGGCTTATTAATACCATCTAGAAAAAAGTTTAAAAGGTGAATTCATTGAAAACAATAAAAGCCTATAAATAGAGACATAATACCTTAATTTAGGGCTTAGAAGCATAAGAGTTAATATTACATAAATCATATGTAAAGAAATTTCAAACAAGTCCAAATAAGATAATATTTAAAAGTTGATCAAGTTATTTTATAACCTGGGAAATTTTGAGTAGAACAGACAATAAAGGAGCTTATATGTTTATGCAATATTTTAAAATATTATATTGTTACAGAAATACAGATAAAAGGAAATAAAATAGAGAGTCCAGATATACATGTTATACATAAAATTACCTAAAAGAGAGGGATTTTGAGTCTATATAGAGAAAAAAATGTTAGTGTTCATTGTATTGATGCATTGAGTTTTTTGAAAACTTTTGCTCTGCAATTCATACCAGAATAAATACTACTAGGATTAACCAGATAAAATTGCAAAACAAAATATTAAGTAATCTGAGTGAAATAAAAGTTAATATTTATCTATTTGATTTCTAAATGAAAAAATGTGAGCCTAAAAGCAAAATCAGAAAATTATAGATGAAATGTTGACAGTGAGTATATCTTATGGTAGAATAATTAAAATTAATACCCTTCTAGGCCAAAAAATGATCATAAGCCTAGTTAATGCCAATATGCCCAGAATTGTTTTGCATTATAAGATAGATATATGATTATCAAGAGCTCTTTCAAACTGAAGAGAAAGAGCTGACCACTAGAACGGTAAAACAATTTACAAATAAAAACTATGTGCTTGAATTCAAGAACAGCCTAGGAAACATAGCAAGACCCCCATATCTACAAAATATTTTTTAAAATTTAAAAAATGCCTATAATCCCAGCCTCTCAAGAGGCTGAGGCAGAAGGATCATCTGAGCCCAGGAGTTCAAGCCTGCAGTGAGCCATGATTGTGCCACTGCACTCCAGCCTGGGTAGCAGAGTAAGACCCTGTCTGAAAAACAAAAAAACAAACAAAAGGAAAATTACAGCCAGTAAAAATATATTTTAAAATGTTAAAATCAATTTAAAATATCAAATTGAAAATGTGGCATGAAGTTTAACTACTTATCTGTTGGTATTTTTTTTCCAATTTTGTTGCTCTGAATTAGAAAAGATACAGTGAAGGGACTTTGACAGTATGAGAATAAATTGGCATCATCTTTCTGGAGGATTACTTGCTAATAGAAATGTAAACATTTAAAAATATTGTAACTTCACTTTTAGAAAATTATTATTGATATACTGAAAATTATACTATTAAAACAATATTTAGAGACAACTATCATAAGATGGTGATTTTATTAAATAAATATTGACATAGAAAACTTTCATTCTATGAAACAAAAATGGTAAATCTAAATATACAAAATATGTGCTTAAAATGAGAAAGAAAGGAAGTTTATTTCAGGAAATATATTTCATCATTTTATTCATATTAGATATAATTAATGACATTTTTACAAGAATTCTGGACACTATATTCATGTAGAAAATTATTGCAAATTGCAGCATCATAATAGATATAGATAATCAATGGAAAACATTGTAATATATATCTTCCACGGAGCAAAACAAAGATATATCTTTATTTTCAAAGAGACCATCCACTATTCTTTAATTTTAGTGAAGAAAAATGGAATGAAATTTCATCACATTATTTTATTTAGTGTTCAGACATGTATTCACTGTTTACTTTGTGGCAGGCACCAGCCACTACTGTATTGTTTGTTTGCTTGCTTGTTTGCTTTGGCCTAGAATCATTCAAATAAGAACAATACCTTTTTACAACAATCACACTTTTTTCCTTTCTATCTGTTTTGAATCATATCTTTATACCCTAGAGTTTTCATCCTGATTATTCTGATATTTATATTTTATAAACCAGCAAATGTGGAAGAAGTGTATCCTTTTGGTGAAGGTCAAACATCAAAGGAAATGTCCACTATACACCTGAAATGTGGACACTTTTTTTTTTTGAGTTGGGGTCTCACTCTGTCACCCAGACTGGAGTGCAGTGGCCACTCCCGGCCACCGCAGCCTCGCTTGCTGGGCTCCAGCGATTCTTCCACCTCAGCCTGCCAAGTAGCTGGAACTACAGGCACATGC